AAAACGGAGACGTAACAGTATTTTCCTGTATTACAATATAAATAGCCACAAAGAAGTGAGAAAGAGGTCGTAAACGTACCTAAATACCAATAAAGAATTCAAGCAAGTCCAATTAATAGCGTCACCTCCTAATCTCTATTGTTTCACAGCATTGGGCATCTATAGCATTCGAACAACGTCATTTGACCAGGGAAGGGTATTACAGTCGCTACTCCTTGCAGCAAAGATGCTGTTTGTTACTCCAGTATCTTCTTGGGCACAATAGACATTATCTACTATAAAAAAAAAAGAAAGAAAAAAAAGTGGAATAAGACAATCTCAATGATTTTCTGGACCACATGTTTATGCTAAGACCACATAGAAACTAGATAAATGAAACTATTCAAATATTATTAATGATTATACTAGGTAAAAAACGTGATATGCAAACATATCACGTAAGGTGTCTTGAAAATCCATTTAGATTCAAGTTACACGTTTTTTAAATTTTATTTCCTTTAATATGTGAAAGCTGTTGTATTTAAGGTAAAAATCCTTATAAAATATTTATGTTATTATTATTATTATTTTGTATAAATAGTTTCGTTTATTGGCATGCCATTTAGGAAATTGTATCATTTGTATGGTCAATTTTATTTTTTACGATATTTATGCATGGCGTTGGTAGTTGATGTGGAGTGGGGATAGTACATACTAGCATTAGGCTTGATTAATTTTAAATATAATTATAACCACCAGCTTCAGCTAGATTTGTGAGTTTTCTACATTGATGAATAATTGATTCTTCGTTTTATGATGTGTGTTTGTGTGAAAAAAACTATTTTTACTAAAATTATTTATTTAGTAATAGAACTTAGAAGTATGTAATTTATTGAGAACTCGTTCTAATCTAAGTTCGAAAATTAAAAACTTATTTAAAACGTTCAATCCATTTAGTTTGTTTTTAGTTTTGATTTATTTTTAAATCGTAACCTATACAATTTACAAAAAATACAGTGATATTTTATTTTGAAAAAAGACATCCCATCTATATATGATCTATCATCTACTTCAGGCCTGGATATTTACTGACTATAACTTAACAACACTCAACAGTGATCATGTGTTTCGAATACTTTGAAGTTAAAAGTAATACTAATATAAGTACTATTTGTAGTAGTATTATTTTTACTAGTTAGGTTTCATTGTTATTAGTAGTACTAGTAGGAAGGCCTATACCATAGCTTGATTTTTTTTACGTCAAAGTAAATAGCGACTGTTGCTATCTAGTAGTAGTATTTACCATATTGAATGGAAAACAAATTAAACATTATAATACAAATGTAATCATGTTATCTGAACGTGTAAAACATAACTATATCTGTCAAAAGTGTCAGGATGCCTGACGAGGTATATGCACAAATGAAAATTTGAGAACATATAAAAGTCTTGATGCTTGCAACTTCCTCAGCAGTGACTAAGTCTGGCCGGACTTGCTGGTTTTTCTCAATCAGCGAGACTTATTCATTGCATCACCAAAGCAGGTGTCAACCATTCACAAAGACTAGTATATAACTTACATGCAGCTTTAGTCATTAACAAGGAAACTGGTGTCATAATTACGGCCAACTATTTGTGCAGAGCAGGGTAAATATATTTTTATTATTCTAGATGTAATTGTAATGCCTAATTTCTTTGTAATTTACCTAAGTGATGAGTAAGGCAAAAAAGTTAACTAATTTATAATTTCGAAAGTTCAGATAAAATTGGATATTTATTGTCTTACTAAATGATAACTAAATTACCCAATATGAAATTGGTTTCAAAGTTAAAGTTGAAAAATTCTCAGTGCCTAAGAAATTACCATTTATTACTTAACATTATGAAAAAGCTAATAAGTGAAAAGAGACTGGGGCTTGAACCCAGTAACTTTGACTAATAGTGCCAGTGCTTTACCATTTAATTTTAATCAAGCAACAAAAGAGTGTCAGTCAATCGTTTTGCTTGAACCAATCAGGTTCTAGCATCTTCTTTCCATCAGAACTTCTTAAAATTTCTTTTCCTTCAACCAGCAATGTTGCATCACTGATCTAGTTCTGTTCCATGATGTGTACAAAGGAAAAAATATTTTCTTCAATACTTTGAATTAATGTTTGGATAAATAAAATCCACAAAAACAGGAATACTTTTGTTTTACTGGACTGTTGTGTTGTGTCATAGTGTAAATTTGTTTTATGTTTATTTGTTAAAGATTCAAAGACTTCTTTAGTGTCATAGTGTAAAGTAGTTTTGATAAATAGGCAGCAAAGATAAATAAGATGTTACACAAAAATAGATTCGTTTGATAAGATTGAATGGTTTCATTTTTTTTTTCGTACAGTAGTTGTATGTGTTATTGCTAACTATGGACGAGACCCAGTACATGATTATGAAGGTCATGGGGTGGGATGGAATAACAACTGGAAAAGGTTGTAGAAAATATAAGACAGTTCCTGAACCTTTTTGGTTGTAGAAAATATAGGACAGTTCCTGAACCTTTTTGGTTGTAGAAAATATAGGACAGTCCCTGAGCCTTTTTGGTTGTAGAAAATATAGGACAGTTCCTGAACTGTTTTGGTTGTAGAAAATATAGGACAGTTCCTGAACTGTTTTGGTTGTAGAAAATATAGGACAGTTCCTGAATTGTTTTGGTTGT